ACTACGCATCATTGAAAAGAGAACTTTTGTAGTGCGTAATCTCATCTAGAGATGCAACGATGACGATGAAAAACCGTTTCACCAGTCTAAGACGATAACCGGTCGACCGTTAACCGTATTGAGTCGATAATCAGTCAACGGTGAAATCCGATAAATATCTTTAAACCTACGGTGAAGACCGGTGTGTTAGTTAACTTAGATGCTATTAAAACAATAGAGACTACTGGTATCCGTAAACAGGTCTTCACCATAGGTTTGAAGATGTTTACCAGCTTTCATCGTTGACCGGTTACCGTTTCACCGATTGATCGATTTGACCGGTTAACGTTTCAGTACGGTTAACCGTCGACCGGTTAATCGTCACCGTTGCATCTTTAATTTCATCCAAGAAAAATGATAAAAACTATAAATAAATGAAGATACTTATATACTTTTACCCAATGTATTCCCTATATAGTACTCGATGCACTGTGAGCCGCCCTACGAAAGTGTATGTATGAGCTTTAAAACGAATTAGACCAACAACATTTGACAGGAATGATTTCTTTTCTCCGAAAATTCCATGATTTTTGATAAAAAGTTGTATTTTCAATTTCGAAACATGTTATTTTGTTTTTCTTCAAATGTCTTCATTGGATAGAGCAAATAAATTTTATCAGACATAAGTTTCACAAGGATCCATCATTCTAATATGATTTTCTAAAAATAAGATCTTCGTCAGAGACTAAAGCAGAGTGGTCGAATACTTTTTTACCGATTGTAGATCGAAAGATATATAGGTCTAATAGATATTGGAATCGATGTAATAATGTGAGTGTGGATAGGTCTCTCGGCGCATTGGTGTAATCAGTATAAATGTCAATAGTTTCTGGAGTATAGCTGAGAATATCATAATCATTACGCACAATTCATACCGTACAAGTCGAATCTATACTTTACAGTAAGAATCGACACATCCATTTTCCACAATTGAACTAGTGTGTAAATTCCAATATCTGACTTCAGATATTGAATATCTTACATGAGATAATTAGACATTCCGATTCTCTCATAAGACACTTAGATAATCATTGGCTATCTCACTGAAGGTGAGTACCTAGAAACACTGATATACAGCATAGATATTGACCAAGGGTGCGTAGCGCTATAATTACTTCAATAACTGCTGATATATTACGTAGAAACACACAGTTGAAAGGTACAACAATGATATAGTTTTGTTTATTTATTTTTAGTAACATAATCGTGTTTATGATTGTCAAAAAGGTCGAAAGAGTATTAGTTACACATCATATTTCGAAAGGAAATAATCCTAGATTGTCTGAAGATGATGAAAATAAGGCTATTAAATGTTTAACACAATGTATTAAAAATTTTCATTTCACACGTGATAAACATTTACCATTTACAGAACCAGATGATCTTATTGAATTGTTTTTTATTTTTATTTATAGAAAAAGACACCACTACCATAAAACTAGTGATACAGATAGCGACTAATTATAACCAGTCCCATGATACCAGTTTCATCAACATTAATATCAAATAATTTATGTACAAAATGTTTGCTTGATGAAAATTATCAAACAGATGAAAATAATAAAAACGATGAGTCCAACAAAGAAAAAGGAAATGATGCAATAATAGACGATAATGCTCAATTAACAACTATCATCATGTCTTCTTCATTATCAATCAACTGTCAACAATGTCAAGCAATATTATCATTAAAAGATTTTCAATTAACTGGACATGATAATCTTTCAATATGTTATAATTGTTATCTACATGGTAAAGAATATGAACAATTATCGAGCATTCATCAAGATAATAGTAACTATAAAAAAGAGCCAACAACCGTTTCATTTGAACCAATCAATGGATCCCAAACTATTACAGAAGAAATTAACAATATAAATAAACGTGAACGGGATAACAGTAATCGTCATCTACCATTATCAAATGAATTATCAAAGAATGACGTTACATATACTGCTCTTTTAATTGCCATCGATTGTTGGCCGGGTGATTGTATTTTTGATAGACAAGTTGCACCAGATCGTTGTATAAAACGTTATGATAACTATCTTGCTGATATGATGTCTAAAATTAGTGGCTTGCCCATTACTGCAGAGCAATTACCTAATATCTCTCCATATGGTATTGTTATCGATCATATGCATAATTATGAGCGATGTTCAGCTCGATGTATTGCTACTGAACATGTTTTGTCTTGCTTCCAATCAAGTACGTTTTTTGGTTCTAGAGTCTTGACATCGTTTACATCGATGATGAAGCCCAGATGTCCAGAAGGAAAAAGATTTCTAATTGTTGGTGCAGGTCCGGCTGGTTTATTCATGGCCATTCAATGCTTATTACGAGGACATGCTGTCACTTTAGTTGAACGAAGAACAATGTATAATCGTGCTGTCGCATGTGGTTTGCTCGAAACAGAAATGAAATTCTTCCAATTGATAGGTTTACCTTCGTGTTTTTTTATTCGTGCTATACATGATGCTAAAGACATAGGTGTTTACATTGCGGATATCGAAGAGATTATGATGAAGATAGCCATGAAGATGGGAGCATTAATCTATCTAGGATGTCAATTTGAACCTATTCGTCAAATGATTTCAAGTTCTTCTGAATCGAAACCTGGTATTCGTTGTTGGGATGGTTCATCAGTTCATCAAGAAATCTATACTGCTTACGATGTTTTGGTGTATGCTACAGGCAACACTAAATCGATTCCGCTAGATTTGTTTAAAATGGAACCACCTCGACTCTTTTCTGAGGTCTTTAAAGAATTTCATTATTTATGGTCATCCGATTCCGAATCATCTCTCTGTAATAATTTCGTTGATGATTTCCGCCACATATATCGTCGAAGTCATTCGTATTCACAGGGATCGTCCATCATCAATCCGTCACGTGATTTGAGCCGTAATTGCAGCTCAATCAGAGAATTTCTTTTAGATACATCTTATAATGGGGGTGCGATGATAGTTAAAAGACTTGGAAAAAAAGAAAAATATTTAGACCATTGGTTACGTACTGTCAAGCAACAGAGTATATTATTGTTAAGTCGACGACCATTACTTGCAGTAGTCGCTCATATTCCAGCGTCTGTATTCCTTTCGAGTCGGCCACGTCAACAAGTTACCAAGATACCAGATGACTGGATATATGTTCAATGTTTTCAATCGTCTGAAAGTATTAACAATGATCATATACATACTATTCAATGCGAAGGACCATTGCCAATTCATTATCCTTTAAATACCAAACAATTTCCCGTTTATAAATTTTTTACTAGTCTTTTGAAGAATTATTTCAGTTTGTCTCTAAATAAAACCCGATGGCAACATTGGTGTCAACAAGATGCACGCTTCAAAAATTATTCTCAACGTTCTGTACGCGCCTTCCCACAACGGTTTGAAACATTGCTCCAATATGGACGATTATATATCAAACAAACAGAAACAGGTGATATTATATTTGACGATGTGCGGTCGAAAAGTAGTATGTGGGGTTATTTCACAGATCCTATTAATTCTACACAAAAGGAATATTTCATCATAGGTGATAGCTTATGCACACCCTACTATCGTTTTGGAATAGGGTTACATAATGCAACAAGAACAGTACTCTCATATTTTCATTCTGATCCGAATGAGAAGTTACGGCAAATATTGGATGTGGAAGTTTCTTTGGTTAAACAAATTATTCTTACATTATTTTCTCAAAGTTCTTCTTTCAAAATAAATCAATCCAATCTTGATCTGCTAGATTTAATCAAAACGACGTTGCAGAAGGAGTTTGGAGATAACATGTTATTGCTCGACGATGTAAAAAATGAAATATTGGCGTAGTCAAGATTTTGTCAGAGAGAGTTGAGAAGGAAAGCCCCAATTTCTTCTCAACAAACATCTTATGTACAATGATTATTTTTTCATATATCTTGAAACAATAACCTCGAGTAATTTTCACTCAGTTTTTCCTGTTATATAACGAATAAGTTAAATAAAATTGTTGATTTTGTAAACTAAGTTCTGATCTAGTGATTGATCTCATATGAAAACAACATGTACCATTGAATGAAAGAAACTATGCCCTATACATTTATGAAGTGCTTCTTCCTAGATAAGCATATATGTTTTGTAAAACTGTTCTTAAATCCAGGACTATCCATAGAAGTGAAGCCCAGCCGAGACTGTAGCTCTGTGTTCAGAAATTTTGTAGGATTCATTGTTTAGGAGTAATGAGCGAATTTTAGGAAGGCCTAAAAATAAAACTTGGACAGGTTTCACTGCACAAAAGAAACATCCAAAGTAGGCGTAAAATTTATTTCAAATACATCCAAAGAAAGAGCAAAGATTTCTCTACAAAACGATAGTTTGGTCATTAATTTCTAGTGAGGCTTTTTTGAGTAATGAGCGTTTTTATAGGAGACACAATGTTTCAGCAACTCCTTAGCTTCCAGACTGTCAAAAAGAGCTTAGTCATTTTTGAATGAATGCTGCGAGACTCTCCTGTTTTTAGCTCCCTTTGTGGAGAATGGGCTCGTTCTTGACGCTGTGCAAAAATATCGGTAATAGATGATACGCATATATTGTTAAAGTGCTGATCTAAAAAATTTTAAAAAGTGATACAATTAGGCAAAAGAAACTTGAGCTAAGTTAAAAAGGACGTCGTTACGACAGGAATAATTTCCTTCTCTGCATCTGTTAGGGTAACTGCTTCCATCCAAACTTTATTTGTAGGCCTTCCAAAAATTCACTCATAACTCCTATACAAAGACTTCTGCAAAATTCTGTACACAAATTCTGCAAAAGCACAAAATTCTGATTTTAGCCCATAGTTCAAAAGACTTTGTTTCCATACTTAATAAGTTGAAAAATGAAGAAATTTTGTCTGGAAACTTTCGGCCCACCCGTTAGTTTGCAATCCTTCAATTTTCAGAGTTTTAGGAATGTAGCAAGTATAATAAGTTACTGAAACCAGAAATTTCTGATGTTATTACCGTATCTACTTTCTAAAAATCACAATATCTATATTTAATCAACATTTTACTCGAATTTAACATAAGAAGGGTAATGGAAAATATAACTGCTCTATTAATAACATTATGCTCTTGTTTGCAAAGGGCTAAGGTTCTACTTTTCCTTGTATTTTAAAAATTAAGGCTAAATTGAAAAACTAAATATAATGTTAAATTATTACGAAATATGTAAGGTTTTTAACCTTGGCAAATATATTGCCATCTAGAGTGAAATATTCCCCTAGCAAAAAATAGTTGCACAAAGTATTTTGGGTACATCGTTATCATAAAAAAACATTTTGAAGAAAGTAATCACATATTTGGATAGCGCGTGAAATTCTCTACAAAACTCTATATGAACATTTTGAATTGCATTTGTGTTTCGAAAAACAATTCAAGCACAACAACGATGCCCTCATCATCAGATTCCCCAGAAATGCATTTTTTTTCTTCTCGAATTTTTCAGATCAAATAATAGCTAAAATCACTGTTGGGATAGTAGAGGTTGATAGAGATTTTCATGCACTTTCAGATGATGTACTTAATTTTGTAGTAAATTATTAATATAGAAAAATAAACTCGAAAAATGTACGAAAAAGAAGAAAAAATATGGATGAAAAACGAAGAAAAAAATGCATTTCTGGGGAATATGATGATGAGGACGTCTTTGTTGTGCTTGAATTTGTTTTCGAAACACAAATGTAATTCAAAATGTTCATATAGGGTTTTGTAGAGAATTTCACGGGCTATCCAAATATGTAATTACATTCTTCAAAATATTATTTTATGATAACGGTATACCCAAAAATACTTTGTGCAACTATTTTTTGCCGGAGGAATGTAAAGAAATAATTAAATAGATAGTGATTAATTTATGAGAGATTTAAGATTATTGATAACTTCTAATTTTGAGGAGAATGAAAGTAAGAAAAGAAAATGCAAACATTAAAGACGTTTATTTCAAAAAAAAGGTTTCAGATTCTTATTGAGATCCTTTTGTGCAATGTTATGAAAACTTTTGAAATTTCTCTCCGAAAGGGTTGTACAATAATTCAGGAATCGATTTAGGTTTCGCATTATATTTTTTCAAATACAGAAATTTCGGAAACGCTTTAAGTTTTGGTTGATATATCTCGGAAACCGATTTTGGTTTCCTATTATACCTTTTTCACATATAACGTGTTTGGAAATCTAAAGTATTTCCGATAGAATAGCTCGGAAACTGAAAAAGTATTCTTGGATACTCCTTCAGGCACGCAATCATTGCTTTCGGACCAGACGATTTCCTAAAATACTCTAATAGTTCTGAAAAATATTAATTGGATTCTCGGCAGCAATAAAAAAAGTATTCTGGGATATCTTACACATGTCGAATTTTTTACTCTAAAAAAACCAAAAGTTTTTCGAGATCTCAGAAGCCAAAAAAGTGTTTCTGAGAATGCTTTGTGAAACTGGAAACCCTTTTGGAAACTAGAACAGGTTTCCGAACTGGTTTGAGTTTCCGCAGAGAATGAATCTTATTTTTATAGTTGTGGCATGTGCTTTGCTATTTTTTACAGTAATTGCATACAGCTCTGATAGCAAAATAAAACCAAAAGAATAAAAAAAATCAATTTATTTTGAATACTTTTCATACAAACTGGCTCGGATGTCTGAATTCATTGATCATTCGTTTCTTACAGTATTCACTATTCTTATTCTTTTTGTTGAAATGGCTCATGGTTTAGTTCGTTTATTTTTTTACATTTATAAATTCCTCATCGACATCTTGTTTCGAGGCGCTTAAGAACTTTTTCTTGATCAATTTGTCAATACGGAAGACGACTTCGGCCCCTTCTCGATCTCTAACCATCCACTTCGTACCGTCGTACACCGGATTGAGACGAAATACACGCAGATATGAAACATCCGCCCGTGGTGCGTAAAAACGGCATTTATTCGAATGACTAAAGTCGACAAGATCGGCCCAATCATATCTTAAATAAGAATTGACAACGATCTCCCCTGATGGAGGCTGCGTATTGGGTACTCGATTGTTAGCAACCATCTTTCTCATGAGATTATCAGTTGTTGAAATCCATGACTCGAGAAATTTTGGATCACGTGCTCGAATAATTGAGCGACGAATTGTCATTGCAATGCTCGATAGTGATCTTGGATCATCGAACTCATCAGATCGAATTGCAATCAGTACATTGGCAACATGTCCCTGTGGGGAGATCGCATCGGATACACCACGAATATTGACGATCATAATTGTTCGTGTGATAAGTTGTTCGTCGTTCTCGAAAGAGTGAGTATTGAGGGTGAGAATGATATAGGCGGTGAGTGCGTCCTGAATTGTTACGCTTTCTCCACCGGCCCTCATGCGCAAACACTCAAGTTGTTCTCTTGAAAAGCACATATTGACTTGATCGTGCGTATTTTGATCGGTGGTGAGTTGCTGGATAATCTGTTCACGTGTTCGAGCATTCTGCAAATAGTTCATCATGGGAAAAAGAGACGAGTCAATAGGATCATTATGCCACAAACGTCGTTCAAATATGGGTGCCGGTTCAGGTGGATCCATTTGTTGATATAATCGTGAGAGAGTTTGCAAAAAGTGCAAACACGCAGCTGCATCGCCCAATATATGGAACCAGCTTGCACCCATAATCCATTCGCCATTTTGCACGATGTGAGTGAGTTTTAAATAGGGGTGGGACTTTACCTTTACTTTACTAGTAAATAGTAAATATTTTATTTACTATTTACTTTAGTAAAGTAAATAAACCATTTGTTATTTACTATTCTCTATTTATTAAAGTAAAGTAACTAAAGTATTTATTCTCTCGACTGTAGGGAGGGTCATAGGAAATAGAATGCGGTTGTATGTTCCCTAGACTGTAGGGAGGATCATATGAAAACAAATGAGGTTGTGTGTATGTGTATTTGTTTCAGGGTCAAAAAAACATACGCTTAAAGAAGTTTCCGATTTGAGGCTTTCGACCAATCTGGTTTTTTCAGCCCGCAGTTTCAGCCAATCAGATTTCTTTCGCCTGAAAGTTCAGCCAATCAGAGGTTTTCGATATCGCGCATTCCACCAATCAGACTCCTTCACCTTGAAAGTTCAGCCAATCATAGGTTTTCGATATCGGGTATTCGACCAATCAGATGCTTTGACACTGAAATTTCAGCCAATCAGAAGTTTTCGATATCGGGCAATCGACCAATCAGATTCTTTTAAGCTGGAATTCCAGCCGATCAGTTGTTTTCGCTGACCAACTCTTATCCAATAAGGTTTTCTAGAACAAGAAGGTCAACCAATCAGATGTTTTCACTCTCCGGCTTTTCTCCAATGAGATTTTTATCAAGTTGAGAGTTCAGTCAGTAAAATATTTTCGCTATTCCGCCTTTGTTCAATCAGATTTTTTCAGTCGGAAACTTCAATGAATGAGATGTGGTTGTTCTGCGGCTGTTCTGCTATCAAATGTTTCAAGATTGGGAGTTCCACAATGAAATACAAAGTCTGTCTTGTAACAGCCCAAAAATTTCTCTTCTCCTTTTTTCAACTGGATCGACGCCTTGTATAACATCGACTTTTCAAAAAGGTTGAGAAATTAAAGCTGTAAGGAATGGATCACAAGAAAATATGGGCTTTGGAATTTCCTATTTAGGATCCTTTTGTTCTAAATCGAACAAGGTTTCGCAATAAACCAAACGCGAATCGACTAGAATGCAAAGAATAGAGGATGATTTACTAGGAAAGTAAGTTTAAACAAAGGAGCGGCTAGGCGTGAGCGGCGTTCCAAAGGAGCGTCGACAAACGACTAGCGGCTAATCTAGTAGGCTCACCGAAAGCACGCTTTAGGCCTGGGAATTCATACAAAATTGCTCACCGATCGAGACTCACTGGTTGAAAGTGTTCGAAAACTGCGAAAAACTCAGTGTAGTAATATGAGTTTTCATCCTCAATATACACACAGCAATAAGGAGTGACGAAGCAAGAATAGCGATGACCGCAGACAAGAAGTTGAGTTTGTAGCTTTAGACGGAAGATCTTGCAGGAAAATGTAAATGAAATGTAAGTTGCTGTGTGCGATGATTAGGAACATTAACGATTTCTCAAAAAATCTGCAGCCGAAGGTTCACAAGAGAATGAAGCACTGTTTTAAAAGGTAGGCTATCATTTGCCACAAATTGTGGTCCCCTGAATCAGTCCCTGAATCTAATCCCTATTTGTGGATACGTGAAACGCTATCGTGTATCCTGGTGACCAAATAGGGATTAGTTTAGGGATCTTTTTTAGGGACCAATTCAGGGAATTGCAATATGTGGCAAATGATAAATATTCTTTTAAATTATACGCGTATCATATACAAAATCGAGCAGTCACGAATGGCGGCCTGTATGGACGCCGAAGACTGACTGCGAGTTGTTTCTTACGGTTGGCTTTGGAAAATATCAAAAGAAAATTGAAAAGTCGGATCTTTTTACAAAGCGGTCGTCACCAACAATAGTATACAGGTTTTTTGTGGATGCATGTGTATTCGCCAATAGTTTTCAAAAAAGAATCCAGGAGGTAATGATAGATAATGATTAGATTGGATTTCGTCGAGGGTCAAGCGAGTCGTAACGACGAGCGTTACTTGTGTCTATGTGTTAGGGTCTAAAGAACATCAGGGTCAAAAGAAAACATCGTCTGAAAGAATATAAATCGAGGTCGAAGAATCCGAATCTCAAGTGTGTTTCTCAAAATTTTCAATTGAGTTTTTAGGGTCAAGGGAAGGTTTTCTGGAGAAAATAACGATATTTTATAAAGGTTGACGAAAGTAAATCGAGATTGGAGAATCCGAATCTGAAGTCAGCTTTTTGAAAAATTACATAGTTATTTGTATGGAAAAAATCATACTTTTCTCTCTGAATTATTGTCTAAGGAAAAAAAGCAAATTCTTTTAAGAAAAAATCATTTGAAAAAAGCGAAACTCGAAATATGGGAAATCCTTCTGGGTATTTGGAATCTGTGACTGCTTTTTAGTTTTGGTACCCTCTTCAAAGTATCGTTGTAGACGTGGGTCGGAGTGTCACCTAATGGGGCGGGTGTTTCAGTAAGCCGTAGTGTGATGAAACAGTGTTTACACATCGCTGTCACTGAGTCTGCGGTGCACGATATTCAGCGAGGGTGTGGGTGTGAGTGTGTGGGGTGTGGGTGGGTATGGGTGTGAAGGTGTGGGTGTGGGTGTGGGTGTGGATGTGGGTGTGGGTTGGTGCGGGTGTGGGTGGGGGTGGGGGTGGGGGTGGGGTAGGGGTGAGTCTGGGTATGGGTGAGGTGTGGGTGGATGTGGGTGTGGGGTTTGGGTGTGGGATGTGGGTGTGGGTGTGGGTGTGTGTGAATGTGAGAGAAGAGAAGGTCACGCCCACATCCACTCCCACACACCCACACCCCACGCCCACCCACACCCACACCCTCACCCATACCCAGACTCACCCCTACCCCACCCCCACCCCCACCCCCACCCACACCCGCACCAACCCACACCCACATCCACACCCACACCCACACCCACACCTTCACACCCATACCC